TGAACATGCCATGCTACCCTCTTGATGTCCCTCATCTCACGTCTTGTGATGCCGTAGTTACCAACTCTAGCCTGTGTTCAGGCTGAAGATGCCATTTTAATGTGTAACTTGTGAGAGTCTAAATAAACGCATAACACTTGTAAGCAGCCAGCACAGGCACAGTCTTCGTATTTCTGTAATTAGATAATATTAATATCTTTTGGTGGGAATCATATGTGGTGATAACAGCACACTAGTGTGTTTCTAGGGTGGTATTTTTGCCTAGTCAAAAAATTTAAGTCATTTTCATTGTACAGTCAATACTTTAATATTAGCTTCATTAAATAATTTTTTATTCAGTGAGCAATGATTTAAAATTATGCTATTTAAAAATACTTTTATTTCATGCAAAAGCAGCAGTTTATAAGTTAGTGAGAAGAATAGGATTCAGAAATTCAGCTTAGCAAACTCTAGTGATGTGATTCTTGTCTTAAAAATAGGGGAAAGTGATTTGAGCATCAAAGCACAGACAAGACCAAGAGATTAAGAATCGTGTAGGGAAATTAATGGATATCCTGAGCATGGCTGCTGAATTTGAATATCCATTAGCAGTCCCAGGTTAAGTAAAACTCAGTCTGTTGCCAGAGCTCTAATTTGAGAGAGAGTTTTTTTTGTTGTTAAAAATCTTCTGACTTTTCTGTAAAAAGCAATATCTTGAACAATTCAAAACAGCATTAAAGCATTTGACATATTCACAATCGTGCCTTTTAGAGCTCAAGGTTTATCTTCTGTACCAAAAAGTTGTATTTTTGAGTAAAATGCATAGGAAGCCTGAATTGTAGTGCTGTTGTCGCTGAGTTTAATACAAATGAGTCAACACAGCAGAATAACTATAGCATCTGTAAATGCAAACACATATGACAAACACAGTTGACAAAAATGTTGGGACAAAAGACTCACAGGAGCCTCGCCTTGCAGTTTTACAAAGCACGAATAGTGCAGGTGAGCATAAATGGTGTCAGTGCAGCTGGACTTGGGGAATCATGCCAGTACTTAAAGTAGAAAGTAGCTGTTATCATTATAATAAAAAAAGTTTTTTTTCTTTCTTTTTTTTTTGGAAACAGGGTCTCACTATGTAGCCCAGGCTGACCTGGAACTTGCTATGTAACCCTGGTTGGCCTCAAACTCATGATCCTCATTCCTCTGCCTCCCAGAGGGCTGAGATTATGGGCATGCCTGGCTCGTAATAATTTTTATTAGGGACTTTCATTAAAACACATAATTGTATACTTGGCCATTTAACAATAGAAAGGTCATTTTAAAAAGAAAATGAAATGGAATAAATTGGATTTTAAACAATTTTGTTTTACTTTTTTCTGTAATTTAACCATCAAGTATTACTATGTGATTTTAGCAATGGTGGTTTACTCCTTTAAAATACATTCTTTTTAAAAGTTTTTTGGGTAGGCCTTGTGATTCTGAGTACTTTATTTTAAATTATGGAAAATTAAAGTTTTCAGAGTAGTAGACAATGTTTTCACAGATTATAATGATCAGTTCTGTTCCTAGGACAAATATTACATAACATAGTACTCATAGGCTCTATAAAATGCTGTTACTGTGACAGTTTTCCATTAATGAAAACATGCGAGGAGAGTTTTGTATTAGAGAATTTACAGGTTTAAGAAGAATAAACAACACCTAAGTGACAAATTCTGTTACCATTATACTCATTTGTGCCCACGGAAGTAAAAATAAAACAACATCTTGATTTTACACATTTTCTTAATGATTCTACTTTTTCTTTCAACATCTAATAATTCCATTTTATATCTGTTTAATACAGGCAACATAAAGAACTTAACTATTACACCCTTTTACTAGTAATTTTGAATTCTACTTCACTGCTACCTCAGTCATTCATATGTCCAGAATATTTGATTGGCAGTTTAATATTTAAGATACGTTAATCCTACATTGTTTTCCAAAACAACTTTGTGTTCAGGCAGTTTTACTCAATGAAATAATTACTTTTGCTTTTATTCTATCTGAAATAAATATGAAGATATAAAAAATATTTCAAAAGAGTATTTTAAAAATTATCTTTGGCAGTCAGGTTTGCGGTCACATTTATCATTCTTCCAATGGGTAGCCACTAGATTGGAAGACAGGGAAAGGTGAATCTGAAAAGCATGCATCTGCTCGTGTCTTACTGTAGCTCTTGACCTTTGTTCCTTGATAGACTGTGTAACAGAAATGCAAGTCTTACCAAGTTCTGTAATCTGGACAAGAATAGGGAGTTTCTTTACCATTATGTATGTGATGACTTGAGCTTGTGTCTCAGTGTCATCCTTCATATCTAACTCTCGAGTATAGTTACGGCCATGTATGAAAAATTAAATTTGATAACCATTGAGTCTTCATTGATAGAGGAAAATAAAGCAATAAAACTTCATTTAAGTTAAACAAAGTTAAGCCTTTAAGTTTTAATGGAAATTCAGGATCAGAATATAGAAGTGAGGAGTGGCAGGAATTAAAAAACAAACAACAACAAAAAAACCTTTCTTAAGGACAGAGACCATGACTTGTTATTTACATAATAGGTTTGATATAATAAAGATGCAGGAAAAACACTATAGAGTGTAAGGTTGTTGTGTTAGAAAGTGGTTAGCTTCTACTTTGTGCCTTATTAGTGATCTTAGCAAATCATTTCATGTTTCTGCCCTTGACTTTCCAAATCTATAAAAAAAAGAAAGATGGATCAGGTCTTCAGGGTCTTTTCTACCTCTAAAGTCTGTAATTTTAGATATTTTCAGAATCCAAGCAGTACATGTTTACTTTGGAATAGACAAAATATGTCTGATTAATAGGGCTTAAACATCCTATTTTTTCCTCAAAAAGTATCAGTTTTTTAAAAAAATTTGTTTCTTATTCCAGGTTCTGCAGATTGACACGAGACAGAGGTTAAGTTTTATTATTATGTCAGTTTGGGGTAATAGAAAACAAGACTTAAAAAATGATTATCTTATAAAGTATACATCAGGCTAGAGTGAACTCTCACAAAAAACTATTGAATTTCATCGTTAATTCTTGCTGTCAGGGTAACTACTACAGGCCAAGAAGCCTTTTCTTTCTCAGACAAAAAATGAATCTGTTTATATCAAATGCAGCCTGGAACAGTTCTGGTGCTTGCAGCAGATTGACTGTTGGATCTGGGCCACCATTCTGTTTAGAATAAGGAATCTTTTTATGAGCCCAGTTGTGGTTCTGCTGCACTGGAATCTCCATTGGTAAAATAAACAGGGATCACCTGAACAGAATTTTATCCCTTGCCATTTTTTAAGGTTCCAATAGAATGCTAAATTCAGTATATTTCCAGATATATGTCTAATTCTCAATTGAAATTATATGTTTATATAGCTGTACATTCTTTCTGGTTAAGTTGTAAGCCATTAGCTATCATGTGATTAAGAATGTAACATTTTGATATCCAAACCACTTGAAAATAACTAAGAATTTGGATTGTAACTCTGATTTCTTACAGTTATTGTAGTTATCTTTTATCTTTTTCCTTCCCTCATGGCATTTCCCCAATGGTAAAGTTATTGAGCAAAATGATCTCAAAGACAATTAGCAAATTATGTGAAGGTTTTGTTTTTATAATGAAGATAATTTATTATAAAATCTAGTTTGGGGAACATTTTTTCTCATTTTATACATACAAATTCTGTGAAATAGGTGGTATTGTTAATTTCATGTTTTCTTTCCATAGGCCAGGAAGCTAAGGCTTAAATCCTAGGCCTTAAAGTGTTTAAATAATTATCAAAAGCAAGTAATTGGGACTACTAAACATTTGATTTCAAAGCTTAAATTTAGTTTGTTTATCTGCCATAAAACACAGGAGCGTGACAAGTATACACACACACTTGCACACACACACACAATACACATACATATATATACCACCAATCACCAGTTCCTTCTGTTGCTTCTAGATTATGTGACTATGTCCTCTCCTCTCATTTGATTGGTCCTAGGCATTCCTAAGGACCTCATATCATTTCTAGAACAGTTGGTGCTGTCTGCCAGCTAATGGCTCTGCTTAAGGTTTTCCCTCCCAGTTACCACATTGACTCCATACAGTGACAAGCTAGGATGTCTTTATTGTTCTTACTTTTTTACTGAAATGGATCCAAGTCATCAAAAGAATGCTCTTTTTCCTGTGAAACCTAACCACATCTTCTCTAAGTAACTGACTTCACTGTCAAATCCTAGTCATGTTCTAGGCTTATTTCTTTTAACAGGTACTGCTTCGCCCATGTTGTATGGCTGGCTGAGCCAAGAGCTTGGACTAAAGCACTTCCCTGGTGTTGGATCATTTAGAGTCTGTAGGAGACTAAACATACTACCAAAATGAATAGTCAGATGATGACTGTGCAGTTCACATTAGTGTGGACTACTCCATTGCATATGAAGGAAGTTTTTCTTAACATTTTCTTTATATGGAAGACTAGTTTTATTATATATTTATTATTTATATAATATATCTCGAGTTTGAATTCAGTGCCACCCTATTTATAAGGCAGGTGTTCTGCCATTTGAGCCATAGTCCCAACTCTTTTTATGTTTTGGTTTTTTCAGACAAGATCTTGTGTTTTTGCCTGGGGCCAGCTTCAGACTCACAGTCCTCCTACCTGTAGTCTTCTACATAGTTGGGACCACAGGCGCTTGCCACCTCTGCCTGGCTGGTTTGTTGAGATGGGGGTCTCATTAACTTTTTGCCGAGGTTGGCCTCAAACTGCTGTCCTCCCAGTCTCTGCCTCCTGCATAACTGAGATTATAGATGTGAGCCACCATGCCTAGCTTAGTTTCATTTTATTTTCATTTGGCATAAATCAGTTTCTGTTTCAGAACAATATTTAGGACAATCATGAAGGAAAAAACAGTTAAATTGCTTGATTGCAACGAGAAAAATAATGCTCACTTGATACTTATTTTGATCTGTCCTTGTTTTTTGTCAGGGGTGAAAGCATGTCTACAAAGAAAAATATGTGTAGAGGAAGAAAAGTATGAAATTCCTGACAGTCCATACAGAAGCAGGCTCAATAGAGAACAGCTGGTATTTTTTCTTTCAATACTACTTTCCTTGGTTTTATTATTACTTCATATTATTGTCATCATCAGGAAAAACTTCGTCTGCCCTTTTAGCACGTACAGGTGACTGATTAAAATTTTAGTTGTGCTTATTTCAAGTACTTGATTCTGAAAGATGATCACGATGAGTAGTAAAGTCCAGAAGGTAATAATTTCATACTGTTAATGGATTTTTGGCATCTTGAACATTCCCATAAACCTTTCAGAATCTGAGGGAAATCTCAGATACAGGAAGTAGCTTAAAAGACTTACAGCTGCTGCTTGGATTTAGTTACCATATGTCTTTATTGCCACAGATTGCAGTTTTAATGGATAATATTCCTTTATCCTGTTGTTATATATATTAGAAATAACAAAGAAGATTTTTCTTAGGAGGGAATTGTGAAGCTTTATTTTTCAGTGAAGCACACGGAAGTGTGTTTTATTAGATAATTGGACCTTAGCCATTGCTTCCTAATCCGTTGTGTCCCAGTAATGCATCTCTGTAACTCCGAGACCACACTCCACTGTGGCTACACTCCCACCGTGACTCCACTCCCACCGTGACTCCCAGGAGAACTTGGGTTGGGAATATATAAGGACCTGAATATGGATGGAAGGATGGAGTGGCATGCCACTCTTCTAGTTTAATTAAGTTTAGTCAGGTGTCCCTAACACATAGCTAGGTATCTTGGGCTTTAACTCCCACTCACCCAATAAGCATAGGCATCCTGGTAGGAGAAATTTTATGAATAGTTTTTTTTCATCTTTTTTTAATAAAGCATACCTAAATTCTTAGGAAAATGAAAAGGAATGGTGATAGTGGTTGAATTTTAGGGAAAAAAGTTGTAATGGGAAACTCTTATTTGCATAAGCATTTTTCTTGATCCAGTTAGTTCTGCTGAAACACAATTGTGCCAGCACCTCATTAAGTAGCTTCTTAACTGCTCAGGACTACTGTATGTGTGTCCTTCATTTGTATGCAGTGTTTTAAAATATTTTTATCTGTGTTTAATAAATTTTTTCTTGTTTCAGTTGCCAAAGCTGTTTGATGGTTGCTACTTCTATTTTGGGGGAACTTTCATACATCATCCAAAGGACAACCTTATGAAGCTTGTCATTGCAGCAGGGGGCCAGATCCTCAACAGAAAGCCCAAGCCAGATAGTGACGTGACTCAGACCATCAACACAGTTGCGTACCACGCCAAGCCCGAGTCTGATCAGCGCTTCTGCACACAGTATATCATCTACGAGGATTTGTCCAATTATCGCCCAGAAAGGGTTCGGCAAGGCAAAGTGTGGATGGCTCCTTCAAGCTGGCTTATAAGCTGTGTGATGTCCTTTGAGTTGCTTCCCCTTGAAAGCTGAATATTAATATCAGATAAACATTTCAAGGAGAACTTGTGCAGTTTATAAAACCTAGCCACTGCGCTGCTTTTGATCATTTACTTTTTACACATAAGAAAATCATTCATATTTTTTTCTTTGAATTATAAAACAATCTATATCAGATTAGAAATTTGCTCTTTTTATTATTTAGATGCTGGGAGTGCTTTTAATAATTTTTTTCTTGTGGTAGTTGGGATGTAACTCTTGATGTGTCACTTGCCCAACAGGTACAAGGTCCTGGGTTCAATTCCCATCACTGCAAACACTTTTACTTTTTAAACTGGCCTGTGCTTTTTGATTCATCATGTCTTTCTATTCTGATTATCACTATCAAAGATTAATGAGAAGGTATCAGGACTGTTGGTTAATTCTATAAGCGGTGTATCATTCTTTCAATCTTTTAATTTTCTCTGATGAAAAGAGCTCATACCTGCCACCAGCAAAAATACTTTCCATTCTTTAGTAAACAGAGAATATTGTCAAATGATTTATTCTGACTTTATTGTAATGAAAAGAAACTACCTTATCTAACTGTGCCACCATAGGTGTTAAGTTCTCCTATCTGCAATTGTCTTTATCTTACATTGTGTTTATTTAGTTTCTTATAATTTTATTGACTGTTTCCTTCATTTTTTTAACCCCTTTCTAAAGTCTTATGTATTCATCAGGAAATCATGGTTTGAACCATAACATTACCGTTTTTCTGGTGGTGAAGTCAACATTAGACTCGTACATATTTTTATTGTGAATATTTGTTTGCTGTCAACTGTAAGTTTGTAACTGTTTACTGTGTGTTTACTTAGAGTGTTTTCTCTAATATAGTTTAGTATCAGCATTTCTTAGAAAGGTGTCACCAATCTAGAAAATTCTAAATCAAATGTCAATATGATAGATTAGAAACAGTCTTTTTCTGGTAGATCTTTTTAGGTATTGCTAAAGTAATTTTTTGGAAGGTCTTAACTCTTCCTTTTGTTTTTTTCTGAAGTACTGAGGATAAAACCCAGGGATTACTGCATGCCAGGGAAGCACTCTAACATTGAACCCAGTCTTATTTTCTTTATAAAGTTTTTAGATTGGTGTATAGGCTGGAATTTACTACTTGACTTTGAACAGATTTTTCCCAAATCCTGCAAAGGGCTATAGCAGAGGAAGGAATGAGAAAAGCTTCCTCCTGATACCAAAACAGTCAAGGTCGAGTGGTAGATAGGTCTCCACTTGAGAATGCCTGACCTAAGTAGCTGACTCTGTCTGGTCCAAGTGTTCTCATTGTGAGCCAACAGGAAGGATTACATAATTTTAGAATATTGTTTTACAAAGCAGAATTCTTTGATTAATCTTTTCCAGAAATTGAATTCCCGTATAATATTATAGATTAGGGAAGAAGATACTATAAATACCTGCCAGTTTCTTCCCTCATGAACCAAAGAGAACAATTTGGTAACCACTGAAATAAAATATCCCTAATTTTAAAACACAGTCTATGAAGTTAATCAATATTTTAAGATAGACTTGCTAAGAAAGTCTGAGATATTGCTGATCATTTCAAAGTATATGTTATATCCGTTCCTTTTTGAAGTATTATTTTTTCATGTCAACAAATATGTGAACAAAATATTTTTCTGACCCTGACCTTCCAAAGTGTATTATCTCTGAAACTCCATATATATTGATAGCAATCAATGTGTTTGTCTTACATTTCATTCTGATGGAAACGACGAATGCCATTGTTCCAAACAAATCTGAGGGTTAGATAAATCTAGATTTATCTCTGGAATTTGGGTTGTCATTTTTATTTATAACTGACTTTAAGCCACTTTATGTTGCGTCATAGGTCACATTCCTAGACATGTTTGTGCCTTGGTCCTCCCTGTGAATTCCTGGTTGTAAAAAGACCTTTGGGGTTTTGTGTTCACATTGCTACATTCATTTTCTTCATGTATCACCCTCTCTCTGTGATTTTTTTTTTCCTTTCCCCTCTATTAAATAGTAGTATTTCTGGTTTCTTTAAATACTTAACATTGACAGCAGTTGGTTTATGTTAAGGTTTTAAACATAGTTGTATAGAGATCCTTGTAATTATTTTCATTTTTTCAGTCAGATTCAAGCTTCCTTTTTATTTACCATAAATCATTAAAGTTCATTTTTGTTTCCATGTATTTGTAAAAGTGTCTTTTTCTGTGTGTTGAAGAATGAACTCAACATGAGGAAATTCTTCAGCTGTCTTTTTAAGCATTAACACTTTTTGACTAATTTTGACTAGAAATACTTCTAAAGTTTATTAGCTACTTCATACATTAAATAACCTATTCTAATTGTAGTGTAACTGGTAGTTTGAAATCATCACTAGTTATGTCAGTTACACAATGATTCCTTCATGGTTCTGTGTGAGTCACAGAGTTGTAGCTTTTCCACTTTGTTTCAAGTGATTCTTCTAGTGCTGTCTACACATGTAGCTTTTTCCCTTTTCTCTGGACTGCTGCTACTCTGTTACTACTTATCTGTCTGCACTAATATTTTATTATATCTAATGTGTTAATTCTTTTCTTCTAACTTCCTAAAAAATGGAAACCAGGTAATAAGTACGTTAGAATTATGACTGAAATAAGGATAAATGAGCACCTGAGTTAGATACTTGAATTTTAGTAGATACAACTTCATCTGTCTCCATTTGTTTTCAGCCTGTTTGGTGTTTTGGTAGTTAAGTGATGTCTATACAGATGAAGATTATGTTTTGAAGGACTCATACTTTCCATGGAAATAAGAAGATTCAGTTGGGGAAGGGTCATGTGAGGCTATTGCCCTAGGTTGGTATAGAAAAAGAATTGTGTTTTATTAAAGGTTCATTCATGGGTCTCATTATAGTAACAAATGTCTGTTCTGTTTTCCTAACTGGCGTACACTAAAATGACAGGAAATAATGATTATTACTAAAAAGTCACTATTTTGTTTAAAATTGAAGTATGAATTGTGAACTTAATGTATTAGTTTGCATATCAACCCTTTTCAGAGATACCTACCTCATACTACCTACTAAATGAAGACCAGCGAAGAGTTCTAATTTTTTTTAGTCACCTAGTAAATATTAGCTGAGCACAATGGTGCATCTATGATCCAAGCACGTGGGAGAATGAGGCAAGGAGGATTGCAAGTTTGAGGCCAACCTGGGTTACATAGTTCCAGAATAGCCTTGGGTACATAGTGAGACCCTGTCTAAAACAAACAGAGCAACCCTCTTCCCACCCCCGAAACACTGATAAGTATTTGGCTAATGAAGTTGCATAATCTTATAAATTAGGAATTGTTGATTGTGTAGCTTCCTAAGGCACTAGGTACCTTTCAGGTACTTTTCTGCTACCTAGAAATTTCCATTAGAATAGTGTATGGGAGAAGTGATGAAATTACTGTATTATTTTGACTTTGACCTGGCTTAAAAGATTAGTAACACCCAGTCCCCAGTGAGGATCCTACACAGGCTTTGTAGCCTTTCAGATTGGTTTGTTTACTATCTCTCCTCTAGTTTACCTACCCTAGCTCTATGACCCACTCTGTGGGGCATACTATTGTTTCATGAATGTCAGGTATACTGAGCACCATGTAGGTGTTCACAGGATCACAGTAAATAGGATAGTTTGAAGATGTATATAAGCATCTCAGGAAAAAGTAGCTTTTGGTAGCATAGTTCATCTCAGCCTGAAATAGTCCTGACTGTTGTCTGTCTCCCTGTTCAACTGCTGGCTGTCCTAAGTTTTACTATTGTCCTTAACAGTCTTATTAAATTTACTTAAATGCAAGCCTTAACCTTTTATGTCTGGCTAGTTTTTTTTCTCTGACTTCTCTTCATCCCACCTGAATTGGTCAAGTTTTCTGAACAATGTAGCTTCTTCTACCCATTCTATTAACATTTTGTTTAGCTTTCATCTCTGAATATATAAACTATGAATACTAAGACTGCTTGGGCATCTAAGTGATGCTCTGTAGGAAGGGCTAGCCAAGCTTCTGTCAGCATGGTGCCAAACCCTTTCAGCAGCCTCAGCTCAAGCCTCTGAGGTCACATCACTTTACAGTCTCTTTATTAAAAAAAAAGGTTGAATTTTTTTTTTCTGTCCACCTTTGGTTTATAATTTATGAGGTTTTTATTTTCATTATTAAAACTACTGACTTGTCAAAAAAAAAAAAAAAACCACTCCTCAATTGCCTGCTGGCTAAAATAATGTGACCTAAATATTCTGTCATAAATAAAGTATAAGTCTTTTTCTGAAATTCACTGATGGATATGGCTTTCTTTGAGTTTTTAAGCAACTCTGATTATAAGAATATTACATAGTTACTGAAGCAATTTTGTGAATTACAGAAGTCACAAGAAAATAGTCTCAAATTCAGGAACATAAACTGATAATCTTGTGTGGCATTTATAGTATTAAAGAATGTACCAAACAAAATTGAAAGGGCACTCGTAATTCCATTTACTAAAATCCCAACCACTCTACTTTCTTTCTCCCTTCAACTTACTTCAGTTGTATCTTGGAAGCATTAAGTAAACCCACAACTCAGGAATAACAACTGTTAATATTCTTACCCTTTCTCCCCCCTTTTTAAACATGCATATAGTCAGCCCTCAGTATCATGGGAGATTTGTTCCAAGACCACCCCATCTTGTATACTAAAATCTGCAGATGTGCTGGGCACCTGTAGCTCACGACTGTGATTCTAGCTACTCAGGAGGCTGAGATCAGGAGGATTGAGGTTCAAAGACATCCTGGGCAAATAGTTTGTGAGACCCTATCTCAAAAAAAAAAACATCACAAAAATGGACTGGTGGAGTGGCTCAAGGTGTAGGCCCTCAGTTCAAACCCCAGTACCACACACAAAAAAACCTCAAGTTCCTTACATAAAATGGAATAATGTTTGCATATTACCTGTGCACATCTTCCCATATACTTTAATTTGTATCAGCTTTAGATTACTTACAATACCTAAGA